TATATATATATATATATATATATATATATATATATATATATATATATGTTTATGTATATGTATATGTGTGTGTGTGTGGTGTATATTCTCATGTATAAAAGCATATATATGTAACAATAAAGACAGAACATTAATTTTGGAGGGAGCAAGGTAGGTAGCATTAGAAGTGTTGGAGAATGCAGAGGGAGGAGGGAAATTATGTAAATACTGCTCCCATGAATGAAAAATTCAGAAATACACTTAATTTCATGGAAAAATGAACAAAGGAGACATTGGCCTCACTAATATGTTGGCAAATAGTTATTATGCTAAATAAACCTTAATATGATGAAAAATATACTTTAACATACATTAAAATTACTCAATAAATGAGAAGATTCTTTTTTTGATTTTATTAAATGTAGTTTTGTTTTTATGTTATTCTGCTGTTACATAGGGCATAACATTTTCACAAGGCTTTTTTGGGACTACAGTCAATGATTAGCAAACACACAATATAGTGGTCCAAGTCTCTAAAGAACAATCACTGGACAAACAGGATACCCTCTCACATGTGTACAAATCTGCATGGAAAAGTACTAAAGTTTAGACTTGGACTTGTGTACTCTATTTCTCCTTTCTAGTGTTTTAAGAAAGGACATGCACTTTAATTTGCCCAAAGCAATGCTTGCATTCTGGCAGCAAAGAACTACTTCTATCACAAGGTAAAGTGAATACCAGAGCTACAAGGCAGGAGGTATAAGTGAATTTTTATTGGGAAGAAAGTTGTCAACTTATGCAGCAGCAAATGAAGAATGCATAAGGAAACTCCTGTTGTCACAGACAGATGCAACCTCCAGAATATGTGACAGGAGACATTTCAATCTGTGACCCCAAGCCCGGATGCATTAAGTGTTTTCCCATTCAATCTAACACTTCTGGAGTCCTACTAAAAAGGAATTTGTAATAAGAGCATGGAAAAGTTGCTTCTGAAAGGAAACCCCCAAAAAGGTTCAGAAAAGGAATGTAGAAATCAAGAAGTTATTATAATAATTACTTTAAATTGTAATGCACTACATTTCCATATCTTCACAGTAATACAAAACACAGTCACTTGCAGAACTGATTCAGATTACTTAAATACCAAATGTGCTGTCAGTCCTCTACACAAGTATCTGGAAGTTACTCATGTTTATATGAAATGAAGCTATTGATAGTTTTCTACAGCAGTAACTGCACACCCGGAAGGCGGAGACAACACAAACCAAGGGATGGAGTTTTCCCAAAGCTGCATGTGAAAAGACTGTAAACAGTTGGTCCCACACACATGAATGGGCTTCCTTGCTAGAGGAAATCCAAGTGGAAGAAGGAACTGAGATGTAAAAAGGTTTTCTTGAGGGGAAGGAGGCTGGTGCCCTGGATGCCTTTAGTTCTCGGCCCCCTCCGCTGCATCACATTCTTCTCCTGCACTGTCTGATGTCCATAATGTTAAGTTGTCTCTAAGCAACTGCAGGATGAGGGTGCTGTCTTTGTAGGAGTCTTCGTTCAGTGTATCAAGCTCTGCAATGTCCTCATCAAAAGCCGTTTTAGCCACTGTGCAGGCAAGCTCTGGATTATTAAGGATCTCATAATAAAATACAGAAAAGTTAAGAGCCAGCCCCAGGCAGATTGGATGTGTAGGTTGCATCTCTTTCTTGCTTATATCAAATGCCTCTTGGTAAGCTCCTTGGGAATTTTCTTTTTTTCTTTTCTTTTTTAAACATGTTCTTTTTTTTTTAAGATTTATTTATTTTACTTATGAGTACACTGTAGCTGTCTTCAGACACACCAGAAGAGGGCATCAAATCTCATTACAGATGGTTGTGAGCCACCATGTGGTTCCTGGGATTTGAACTCAGGACCTCTGGAAGCGCAGTCAGTGCTCTTAACCACTGAGCCATCTCTCTAGCCCCTCCTTGGGAATTTTCTATCGTTTGTTTTCAATCATCACCACAAGCTACTTCAGCAAGATACTGGAAATAATATCCCTTCATTTTCAGATACAAGACTTTACTCTCTGGATTAGTTGCATTGGCTATTAAATACTTATCCAACAGTTCCAGGACCGTGGTGCAGATGGACCTCAGCTCAGACTCCACTTTCTCCCGATAGTCCTTGATCAGCTGCAACTTCTTGTCGGAGGTGTGGGTCTTTTGCTCAATGCTCGAGATGACCCTCCAGGCAGACCTGCGGCTCCCCAACCACGTTCTTGTAGGCCACCGGACAGCAGGTTGCGTTCCTCATTGGACAGTTTGGCGCCCTGCTCCGTCACGGCTTTCATGCAGGTGGCCGTAGTGCTCGGCCTGCTCGGCCAGCTTGGCCTTCTGGATCAGCTCGGTCTTCTCCATGGCGAGCAAGAGCAAGCGCCTAGCCGGATCTCGAGTCCTCCTTCTAGTCTCCGCAGCTGCGACGCGAATCCCCGAGAAGATTCTTTAATATGTTTAAGGTACTTTTTATAATCTGTCTTCTTATAATTGACTCAAACACATGATTTTAAAGATTTTGTCAGCAACGTTTTTCTCTGATATTGTTCTAAAATTTAGTGACTTCTACAAAACTTAAACTTAAATGTCTTAAAACTGCAAGAAACACATGGTGAACTGAAATGGATCAATATAATTGTGGTTAGAAATTATTGGAAATTATTGGAAACGTAGAGTTACCTTTTGAGATAATAAAACATAAGGGTTTGAAGACAACTCCAGAGATAGACATATGTGAGGCTGTCACTAAAGAAGGAGTATGTTTACTGAGAAAGAAGAAAAGGAGATTGAAGGCTACTTGTACCTCAGTTTTCTTTCATATTCATTTTTTTTGATAAGCTTGTTCACTGTGCTTCATTGGGCGCAAGGACTACAGGGCCTTGCAACTTTTCCTATTAATACATGTAAAACATTCAAACCCATTAAGTTCATAGTCCACAGATCCCTTCACACACTTGTGCACCTGCTCTCCAGTTTCTCTTTTCCACAGTAAGTAGGGTTGTCAGTGTCTTGTGTATCTTTTCAGCGATGTTTCAGATCTACATGTGTAGACTCTCGTGTAATTTTAAAAGCCTTTGTACATTAATCAATCCTGAAACTTCACCTTTTGAATCAGTCTTCTCGGTTCCAATATGAGGATGTGTCATCCTATAAACTGACCCTACAATGGTTGATACTAATGTCTATTTAGTATCCTTCTATGATTTTACTGTTTTGTATAGTGCTCAACAAATTACTACATGTATCATGTGACAAACATGCAGACTAAGGTATAGAATTTATATACATGTAAACTTTACCAAACTGTTTTTAATAGAATTGTATCAACCAATTTATATTCTAAGCAACAAGTACAGGAATATCTGATATCAAAACACAGAATGATTGCGATTTAATCTTTCTGTGGTTAAGTGACTTAACATAGTTTTGGGGTGGTTCATATTACCTTTTTAGTGAATTTTATGTATCCTTAGCCTGTATTCCCTTCCAGCTGTTCTGTCTTCTCACTAGATGGATTAATTATTTTTGTGTGACATGAGTTCATATAGTTTTCTCTCAATTTGATATTTGTCTTTTGATTTTGCTTGCAGTATTTTTACTGAATTTATTTATTTTGGCATTTATAGGTATCACATATCAAACACAGGTCCATACTCATGCTGGACAAGTCTTCTCCCATTGAACTATATCCCAACCATACAACATCTATTTTTTTTTTAAACATGTGGGCTTTCACAAGTTAGCTTCTGGGTGTCATGTGAATTAAAAAAGCCCTTCTTCTTGTTTGGGTGTTTCTCATATTTGACCATTTACAAATCACTTGAAACTCTAATACATTTGGAATTCTCCCTGTTATCATGTGTCTCGAATAGAAGCAGACTTTCTTTTCCCCTCAGAGGTGAATTAGTTCTTCCAACATAATTGAATGACCTGTTTTTCCTTGCCTATTCAAATTTCTTTGGTCTGTTGATTCTTCTGTTGTTGCCATGTAGGCTACTCTCTTTGCAGTTTATTCAATAAAGATTTTTTCTAAAATAAAAGAAGATGCCACATGTATTTATATTCCTTCCTGAAACGTAACACTCTGTTCCAATGTCTGTGTATTTGTTCGTGTATGCATATCAGTCTTTCAGTTCTGGGATTCCCGTCATGTGTGGATACTTGAAGGCTTCTTCCTAATGTGCTCTTGACTTTTCAGGCTAGGTTTACCTTACTTTGCCAACAGAGCTTTTGATTCACTTTGAGAATTCTGATGAAATTTTGCTGGTAGTTTCACTAGAATTATATTAGATGTATAGGTAAATCTATTAAGAACTGGCATCTTTATGAAAGTGATAAAATGATAGCACTGAAAGACATCAAATATACTTTATTTTATAGGCTTCCATAGCATTTTGTAGTTTTTTATTGATAGTTATTACAGACTTTTAAAAAAATTATGATGTCCCTGGAAATAAGGCATCTTTTAACTATTGAACATTCTTTTTTTTTTTCAAGATAAATTTATCTGTGAAATAGCATTGTCTATCCTAGAACTAACTTTGTCTTTGTAGATCAAACTGGCCTCACATAGGTACCCCTGCCTTTGTCTCCAAGTGTAATCTATATTCTAGTTGATTGTGATTTATGTATGAAAATATATTAGTATCTATTTCCCTAGATCCTAATATAAAATTATCAGTACATTCTGGTGAGCCTATAAAATATGATAGTTTTCTTTTTTGTGTTATCTTTGTTAATTTGAGAGATCAGTAGTGTGCCTAACACACACACACACACACACACACACCATAAATTGATAGCATTTCTTCATTTTCTGGACCCTAGAAATCCTTAAATACCCTTATAATGAGCTACTGTCGAAAAGCTTTCATAAAAATTTCTGATAAGTTCATCACAAAATTGTATTTTGGCAGGGAAAGTCTCTGACACTTTTCTTCATTTTGCATTTTGGAAATCTAATTTCTATGGGAAACCATTATAAAAAAAAGCATTGTCAATAACTGCATGTATCTAATGAAAGTTTTGTCTCAATCTTATACTTTGTAACCACAGGCTGTGATCTTAAAGAGTGAATGCTCAGTGGGAGAACACTGGTCTAGCAAGAGTAAGGTCCTGTGTTTGATATGGAATACCTATAATTTTATAAGATATTATTTTATAGAAAGATTTTATTTCTTACACAGAATGATGTTATGGCATATTCAATGGTTTGACTAATTTATTCTCTAATGTGAAGGATTAAATCTTTGTGATTGAATATTCAAGTAATTCTCCTTCTCTTTAAATACACTGAAGTTCTGGAATGTCTGTTTTAAAGAAAAAGCCATATATAGAACAGCTTGCTGACTTTGCAGTGGTTCCTCTGCCTCAGCGCGCCGCAGGGCCTACTCTTGTCTGGACAAGATGGGAACCCTTAAGGACAAGCTCAGTACGCCCGTCGCAGAAGAGGAGGCTGCCGTCCTGAACAACAAGATTACTGTAGTAGGCGTTGGACAAGTTGGCATGGCATGTGCTATCAGCATTCTGGGAAAGTCTCTGGCTGATGAACTGGCCCTGGTGGATGTCTTAGAAGACAAGCTCAAAGGAGAGATGATGGATCTGCTGCACGGGAGCTTATTTCTCCAGACCCCCAAAATTGTGGCCCATAAAGATTACTCTGTGACAGCCAATTCTAAGATTGTGGTGGTGACGGCAGGAGTCCGCCAGCAGGAGTGGGAGAGCCAACTGAACCTGGTGCAGAGAAACGTCAATGTATTCAAGTTCATTATTCCTCAGATCGTCAAGTACAGCCCTGACGGCACCATCATCGTGGTTTCCAATCCAGTGGATGTTCCTACTTATGTCACCTGGAAACTGAGCGGGCTCCCTAAGCACCGTTTGACCGGGAGCGGATGCAATCTGGATTCTGCTCGCTCCCGCTACTTCATGACTGAGAAGATTGGCATCCATCCCAGCAGCTGCCACGGATGGATCCTGGGCGAGCATGGCGACTCCAGTGTGGCTGTGTGGAGCAGGGTGAACGTGGCAGGAATCTCCCTCCAGGAACTGAATCCAGAAATGGGGACAGACAACGACAGTGAGAACTGGAAGGAGGTGCATAAGATGGTGGTGGACAATGCCTATGAAGTCATCAAGCTAAAAGGCTACACCAACTGGGCCATCGACCTCATCGAGTCCATGCTGAAAAACCTCTCTCGGATTCACCCCGTGTCTACAATGGTGAAGGGAATGTGCGGCTTTGAGAAAGAAGTCTTCCTCAGTCTCCCGTGCATCCTTAATGCTCGGGGGCTGACCAGCGTCATCAACCAGAAGCTGAAGGATGACGAGGTCGCTCAGCTCAGGAAGAGTGCGGACACCCTATGGGACATCCAGAAAGACCTCAAAGACCTGTGACTGCCAGGCCCTAGACTGTAGAAACCTCCAATGTGATTGTGAACCTTTAGTCTTCAGCCTTGTACGTAGGTCACAGAATGCTTCTTCCCTGACATGTGATATGAGCTCACAGATCAAAGCCCGGGTTTGTTTGATGTTTGCACGAGGAGCTCCTGAACAAATACAGTTAGCAATTGCAGCTAAAAAAAAAAAAAAGCCATATATTTTCTCTATAAGCTGATACATTATGTTTCAGAAATGCTTGTTTAAATCATATGCATTGAGAGCATAACTATTTTATTGCTTCCTTACAACCCAATGAGCAAAGGGTCATGCTTTCCTTCTATTCATTAACTGTAATGTTCAAAAAGTAACTTGTTGGGTATTGAAAGTAATTTAATATACAATAAATAAAAATGCTAAATTTACAAATACCTTAATAAGTTGTGTAAGCTAGTAATGACAACCAGATCAAAGCTAATCTTTTGATTTTTTTCACATGAGAGACAAACTTCCGTGTGGTAAAAATCTGTTCCTCTCAAATAGTTTAAAGAATATATGTATAATTTTAACTAGAATGGTTTGTAATATATAGACCTCAAAAGAATTAATAATATTTGTATAACAAGTGAATAAAAAAGACCCTTAGAGTGTCATAATATAATTTAGTTTTGATATTTTTTGCAATATAAATAAAATAAATACTACATAAAATAATTTTACATATTTATTTTCTCCAGAAGTATAATAATCTATAGATAACTGTTTCAGTATTAATTTGTTCTGTAGCATGGTAGCTGATAATACCTTCCAAATCTGAGCTTTTTAGCTTGAACCGACAAATCAGGTATGCTAGATTCCATGAGTCATTCAAAAAACTTTTCTCCAAAATGCTGGCAGTTTCTCATTCTACCATCATCTCCCCATGTGTTGTTCATCAGCTATATTATACTATGCTTTTGTGGCTTGTGGTGTGTGCACTTCCATTTCACCCAAATGTCACTCCAACGTGGTCCCAAGGAAGGATTTTTCTCTTAAAAAAAAAAAGCTTTAGAGTTGGAAAACAAAGTTATGCTTGTGTTTCTGAACACTTTTGCCAAATTGTTGATGTTGGAATTTCTAAGTATGGTGCTTAGTTTCACAAGATTTTTTTTTCCTGAAAAATTAGCATCTACCTGTAACTTTTTTAATACTCAGGCTTTTGGGCAAATTAAGCTTCTGAGACTTTAACTGTTTATTTTTTTTCCATGATTTTTCACTCTTAGTTTCCTAAAATTCCATCTGTATATGCAGTCTTGATGTCTGTCATTTATAAGTGTTTTATTGACTTTTGGGATGTTTCTTTTATATAGGCTATTATAGTTTTTTCTCTAGGTGGAGTTTTAAAAAAATAGATCCTTCAGAAAATTTACACACAAAATTAGTACCCTCCAATCCATGAGCATGGGAGACCTTTCCATCTTCTGATATCTTCCTCAATTTCTTTTTTCAGAGACTTGAAGCTCTTATCATATGGTCTTTCACTTGCTCAGTTAGATTTCCACCAAGTTATTTTATATTATTTGTGGTTATTGTGAAAATTATTTTGTTCGTAACTTCTTTCTTGGCCCATTTATTGTTTGTATAGCGGAAGGCTATTGATGTCTTTGAGTTAAGTTTGTATGCAGCCATTTTGCTGAATGTTTTTAACAACTGCATGAATTCTCTAATAGAGATTTTGGGATCACTTATGTATACTATCATATTATCTGCAAAAATGGCCATCTTGCTAAAAGTAATCTACAGATTTAATGCAATCCTCATCAAAGTTCCAACACAATTCTTTATAGATCTTGAAGGAACACTTCTCAACTTTACATGGAAAAATGAAAAACTCAGGACAGCTAAAACTATCATGAGAAATAAAAGAATTTCTGAAGGTATCACTATTCCTGATTTGAAGATGTGCTACAGAGCAATAGTAATAAAAACTGTATAGTATTGTCATAGAAGCAGACAAGTGGATCAATGGAATATAATTGAAGACCTAGAATAAACTTACACATTTTCAGACACTTGATTTTTGACAAAGAATCTAAAACCATACAATGGAAAAGGAAGGATATCTTTATCAAATAGGGCTTGTATAATTGGATGCATGTAGATGAATGCAAATAGATCCATATTTATCACCGTACACAAAACTCAAGTACAAGTGGATCAATGACCTCAAAGTAAAACCAAATACACTAAATCTAATAGAACAGAAAGTGGGGAGTAGCTTTGAACTCATCAGTGCAGAGTTCAACTTCCTGAACAGAACACCAATGGCTCAGGCACTCAAGTCAAGAATGTCTCATGAAACTAAAAAGCTTCTATAAGTCAAAGGATACTGTCTTCAGGACAAAACCACAGCCTACAGATTGGGAAAAGATCTTCACTAACTTTACATTTAAAAAAAAAGCTAATATCCAAAATATATTAAAAACTCAAGAAGTTAGACAACAACAATCCAAATAACACAATTAAAAATTGTGACACACAGCCAAACAGAGAATTCTCAACAAAGAGTGGATGAGAAGTTCCTAAAGAAATGTTTAATGTCATTAGACATCAGAGAAATGGAAATCAAAAAGACTCTGAGATTCTACCTTACATCCATCAGAAGAAATAAGATTAAATCTAAATCTCAAAGGGAAGTACATGCTAGAGAGGTTTCAGAGCAAGGGAAACACTCCTCCACTGCTGGTGGCAGTGAAAACTTGTACAACCACTCTGGAAATCAATGAGTGTTAGTCATAAAATACAAGATAACGATGCTATAATCAACAGATCTAAAGTGAACAAGAACCTCAACACTAGGCCAGATACATTGAATCTGAGAGAAGATAAATTGTCAAATAGCATTAAATACATTGGCACAGGAAAAGCCATTCTGAACAGGACACTATTAGCAAAAGCACTAAGACCATCAATTGATAAATTGCTCATGAAGGTGCAAAGCTTTTTTATGGCATAGGACACCATCATCCAGATAAACTGGCAGCCCACAGAATCAAATATACCTTTAAATGTTGCATAACTGATAGAGTGCTAATATCTAAAATATACAATGACTATTTCAGACTTAAAGTCTCCATTGAGAACTCAGGTATAATTCTAATAGGTCTGCCTATTATGTTGTATTTGGTCCTTTTTCTTTTTCTTGTCTTAATATTCTGTCTTTGCTCTTTACACTGTTTTGATTATTATTTGGCAAAGAGTCTTCTTTTCTGATCCCATCTATTTGGTGTTCTGTGTACATCTTGTACTTTTATATGTATCTACTTCTTTAAGATAGGAAACTTTTCTTCTGTGGTTTAATTAAAAATATTTTCAGGGCCTTTAAGCTGGTATTCTTCTCTTTTCTCTATTACTATTATTCTTAGATTTGGTCCTTTTATATTATCCTAGATTTCCTGCATGTTTTGTGTCATGAAATTTTTAGATTTAACATTTTCTTTGACCTACATATTCATTTCTTTCTATTGTATCTTCAACCCCAGAGATTCCTCCTGCTATCTCTTATATTCTCTTGGTAAAGCTTGCTTCTGTAATTCCCATTTAAATTCTCAAAATTTTTACATCCAACATTATCTTAATTATCTACTCTAACTCCACCTTCTGGCCTTAAATAGCCAGAAATATTTAAATGATTTTCTTTAAGAGATTTATTCATTTTTTTCTCTAAGAATCCCTATTATTTGTATACAGAATGTGTTTAGATTTTTTTCTTGGGCTTCAGCTATTTTGGAATATTCTGGGTCCAATGTGGTAGGGTAGCTGGGCTTCAGTGGAGACATATTGCTCTGGTTATTGATGATTTTCTTTTTACATGATATCTATGCATCTGAGATTAGGTTAATTATAGATGTGAGTGATGATGAATTATATGAAAGTGTAGTAGCTGTGTGCTTCCTGGTAGAAAATTTTCTATACTCGTATTTCCCTGGGCTGCTCAGTTGCTGTGTCCTCAGGGTATGCCTGCTTGTGTTGGAGGCTGTGTTAATGGGATGAGCTGGGAGAAGAAAGGTAGGAGGAAAAGATCTCTGTGATCCATTAGGGTTGAATCATAAGGGGAAAAAGACCATTGCAATTTTTTGCTGTAGAGCTGGGGATGAGACTGGAGGGATTGGCTATGGAAGAACAGAACAAGAGGCATGTACCCTCACTCAGCATACTTGTTTCCCTGGCAGGATCAGCCCTTGAATTAGCTAGGGAGACACATTCCTGGGTTGGGACTGGAACAAAGGCACAGATGTGGGGGGAAGAGTTAAAAGTGGAAGATCTGTGTCACAAAACATAAAAAGAGTTGAGCAGAAAAAAAAAACAGCCTTGGATGTTCTGCCACATAGCAGGAGATGAAACTGAGGGATTGGACCTGGGGAAACAGAGAAAAATGTTTTATCAATAAAAAAATGTGAAAATCAATTTCTTATAAAAGACCCCAACCCAAATATCTGCAATTGTATTTGTGGTGAGCCTTCATATATAAGAGAAAACCAAGATGACAGACGGATTTTTTACTTTCATGGTTGAGGTTCAGAGTGCTATAGATAATAACATTTCCTATTCACTTGAACTTTCATCTTTTTAAACAACTTCCTCTGTCTTATTCTTACATAAAGTACAGGAGCTGGTCCACAGGAGGATCTCTGTGTGATTCCAGTGAAAAGTTGACAGGTCTAGACTGTGTCAACTCATAGCTCTAGAAAGGTATACTTCTATTCTCTTATAAGAAAATAGCATGTGCATATCATCCTGCAGCAAATATTTTGTTCTTCTTTGTTGTTAATGAGAATGTTTATTGATAATCTTCATTATTTCCTAATGTATTGGTCTGGGCAATGTCTCAGGTGGTAGACTGTAACATCATCAATACTGAAGAGGAATAACACAGAAGTTTAACATAATGGGAATTCTCTAGTGTGGCATAGGACCCTGGAATACGTGCAAGAGAACAGCAGCCTCAAGGATGCCATGAATCTTCTTCTACTGTTGCC